CCCTCGCACAGTTCTCTCCTTGTCAGATTCCCTGTATTCGCTCTGGAGTAAGTTCTGTCCGGTGGGTTTTAGATCAGCGGGATAGGGAGAGTATTTTAGAGTTGACCTGATGACCCTCGCTCCCCAGCGATAGCGCTGTGATAAATTTGCTTTGGGGATGTGTTTATTCTGAATCAGAGAGCTTTAATTATGGTGCCACTCCGTTCTGGGGAAGGGTTCAATAAAACTCAAGATTCTCCCTTTTTTGTTAAGGGGGGATTTGGAGTGACCTTCTCTCCCTTCCAAATGCTTCCTCCTGTTTTTAGGTAGTTATACGGTGATGCCCAGAGCAAAGGAGTATTAGTTTCTGTTGTTTGTTTTTATTCCCCCAGGGGGTGCCTTGTTCCTGGAGGTAGCGAAATGCCGTGTTCTTGCTTGGAAGAGACTTGTTCCGCCTTTCCAGTAGTCTTATTAGTTGTGAAAACCTTGTTCAGGGGCCAAACTTTTGTATATTATTAGAATAAAAAAAAATCTAAGACCAATATAAAATACTATTAAAGTCATGTGACAAATTCCTCTTCCTCATTTCCACAAATATACCTATACTTGGATTGGTGAGTCACAGATGTCAGGTCAATCCAGAGACACCAGGACAGCAAAGTGGTTTGCTTTAATGGATTTTTTTTTTTTTTAATGAATGAACTTTGTCTTCTTCCCTGAATTAGGAGACTTTTTTTTTAATGTATGAACTACATCTTCTACAGTCAAATAGTATTATTTTTATAAAAATTATATAGTAATTATAAAATATTTTACGTTTTACTCAATTATCAAATCCTCTTATACATTTTGAATGATTCTAGCCAGTAAAGCTACGACCAAAGGTGATTTCATAATTCTGGTAAAAATTAATGAGACTCAAAAAAAAAAATCAGTGAGACTCTTTTCAGCAAGTAATCTTGTCTCTAGCTCTCCACCTAAGAAGGTGACTGTGTGTGGACATCAATTCCTTGGCTTGTTTTCTGGATGCTGAGTTAAACTTTTTTGTAGTTTAGTATTGTAGTATCATATCACATCTACCTTTTCCATCTAAATATGGTTTTTCATATTTAAGTGAAGTTTATTCAAGTGCAGATAGCAATTAATTCAGATTAAGGAAAATCTACTTTCCTCTGGAGCTCTAAGAAACTAGTAAAAAAAAAAAAAAAATTTTCTCTCCCCTTTCCATAACAAAACAAATTCCCCAGATAGTCATCAACCTTCATGTGTCTTTTAGTATAATCTTGTTCAGCCATTAAAACATCTTTTTCTCATAAAAAAGCTATACATGTTGATTGGAAACATTTTTAGAAAATGTAGCAAAATACAAAGAAGAAAATAAATATCACCTGTATTTATTCCCTTTCAAGACATTTATTATGTGGTATTTGGAAAGATTTCTTTCCTCATATCCAAGATGAAATGTCTTTAAGACAAAGCTCAGGTGAATACCAAACCCTAGAAAGAGACTAGAAAACTATTCGGATAAAATACTTCTAAATATCACTTCTATATTCTGAGACAGCAATAAAAACATATTTCTAAATTTGTTTATTTGTCATTATTTCAGATGTTACATAAACCTCGTTTTTATGCATTTTGCTTCATGTGTTGCAAAGTTTGCAAAAGAAATTCTATGAGGGAATATTTTCTAAGATTATATTTTAATTTACTAAATATGGCAGTTTGCAATTCTACACAGAGAAGTCATCTAAGTGAAGTGATGGTAAGAAAATTTGTTATTCATAGTTTTCTCCTGAAGACTGTTAAATCCATACTAGTAAAGCTTAGACTTGCCTTTACTCTGACATAAAGAATTACTCCAGATAACCTTTCAAAGGTGGGAAAATATCACAAGTAAAGAAATAAAAAGAAGAGAAAACACAGCTGAGTCCTAGAGGACAACCATTAAACTACTGAATATCTGAAGTTTATAAACATCATCTAAATCTCGTGTTCCCTTCTCAGGATTCTCTGGCAAGCATTGGAGTTGCATAACCCTTTCTGAGTCTAAATGAGGAAAGTTCTTCAGATGTGCTACTCTGTAAAGACTGCAAGTCCCTTTCCTCTTGCTGTGCCTTTTCTTCCACGTTCTTACCTGTCCTTGATCCTTTCTTATCAGCCTTCCTTTCACCCCTCTGCCCTCTCATCTTGTGTTCATTTCCCTCTGGTAGGGCTTTAGACGCAGTGAGAACATAGTGCTTTCGGAGCACTGACACAGAACCTCTGAGCTCTGAAAAGGCAGAGCAAGTGCAGCTCATTTCTGAGGAAAGCAGGTAACCTGATTTGCCCTGTTCCACAGTGTTC